GGCCGCAAGATGCTAAAGAAAATAAGCTTCGTATGTTTGGAAGGGTTGGGCGTTAGACGGAGAGGAAGCACCAACCGTTTCTTTAGTGATAGAAGGTATGCTTCTAATTTAAATATGAGTTGCTAAAGTTTTGATAGATTTTGGATCAACGCACTCCTACATTGCACCACAATTTGCGAAGTTTATTGATAAAGGACATAAATAAATTACTTTACTAGTTGGAGGTGTGTAAACCTCTAGTAGTAAGCTCATCACTGATCAAGTGTACAAGGTCTGTGATGTTAAAATAAGCAGCAAGGAATTTCAAGCATGAATTGGTTAGCCCAACATCATGCTCACGTGGACTGTCGAGCCAAGATGATAAGATTTTGTCAAAATGGTGAGGTTCTATCCACCTGGAAAGTCTGTGGTTGAATTTAAAGGAGAAGGAAAAAATATATCACCTACACATAGCGGGTAAAAGCTCAAAAATAGTTATGGAAGGGACACTAGGTTTATATAGCTTATATCATGAATAATCCAACGAACAAAGTAAAAATAGATGAAGTTCCTATTGTGAAGGAATATCCTGACAATTCCTAAAGAATCAACATCCTTACCTCTCGATTGAGAAATTCAATTTCGTATCGAATTAGTTCCAGGAGCAACCCTTATATCAAAAACTCCATATAGGATGACACCTGCATAATTAGAAGAATTAAAACTATAACTATAGCAATTACTGGAGAGAATTTTTATTTGACCTAGTACATCACCATAGGGAGCGCCTGTACTGTTTGTTAAGGAAATAGATGGATCGTTGAGACTTTGCATAAATTATAGAGGCCTAAACAGCGTAACAATTAAAGAATAAATATTTGTTGCGTCTTATTGATGAATTATTTGATCATTTACAAGGAGCAAGAGTATTCTCAAAATTTCATTTAAGGCAAGGGTATTACCAATTAAAGATTCGGGAAGAAGATATTTCTAAGATTGTATTTAGAGCAAGATGTGAGTATTATGAGTTTGTAGTTATGCCTTTCGAACTAACCAATGCATCAGTTGCCGTCATGGATCTAATGCACAATGTTTAAACCATATCTGGACCAATTTGTTGTTAACTTTATTGATGACATTCAGGTTTACTCCAAATCCACAAAAGGAACAACATTTGCATCAAGTGCTACAAACTCTCCGTACTCATTAGTTATCTACTAAGTTTAGCAAATGTGAATTTTGGTTGCCCCAAATATCATTTCTTGGACACAGTTTCTGTTGAAGGAATTAATGTTGATCGTCAATGGTAGAAGCCGTGACTTCTTGGAAGCAATCCAAGAATGTAACAGAAATAAGAAGTTTTTAAGGATTATCAGGATATTATAGGCGTTTTATGAAGGACTTCTCAAGGATTATTGCGCCATTATCAAATTTGACCAACAAGAAGAAGCCATTTAATTGGGTTGATAAATGTGAGAAGAGTTTTCAAGAGTTGAAAAAACAATTAACACTTGCTCCAATCTTAGCCTTGCTGTAGAAAATAAACAAAATTTGCAATATTTGCCTCGAAAGAAGGATTGGGTTGTGTGTTAATGTAGAACAAAAGAGTAATACTACTTATGCCTCACGAAAATTAAAGCCTTATGAGGTAAATTATCCCACATATGGTCTGGAACTGAGCCATAATGTTTGCTCTAAAGAAGTGGAAACACTATGTGTATGTGGTAACATTTAAGGTATATACAGATAATAAAAGTTTAAAATATATATTTACTGAGAAAGATTTAAACCTAAGGCAAACTAGGTGGATGGAATATTTAAAGGACTATGATTGTACTAGTAATTATCATCCTGACAAAGCAAATGTGATTGCTAATGCTCTTAGTAGAAAATCAAGTTTAGCTACAATAGCTTAAGAAATAGGAAATGAAAACAATGGTGTCTATGGTATCCTAAAGAAACACATACCCAAGTATTATTTTCAAATCTTTAGGAACGACCAATCATCTTGCAAAAGATTAAGGAAGCACATGATCAAGATCCTGAGCTTCAAAAGTTTTGGGAGAAGATAGATGAAGGGATAATTCTGAATTCACCTCAAGATTAGATGGACTTCTAAATTTCAAGGAAGAGTATGTGTGCCCAAAAGTTCTGAGCTAAAGAAAGATTTTAAAGAAGCACATCATTCTAAGTATACGATCCATCTCGAAGAAACTAAAATGTACCATGATTTAGAGCAGCGATATTGGTGGTGGCATGAAAAGGGATGTGGCGAACTTTATGGCTAAGTGTTGCTAAGTAGTCAAGCGGGAACATCAACGACCATCAGGTTTATTGTAACCATTACCAATACCAGAGTGGAGATATGAGCATATTACAATGGACTTTGGTTCTGGTCTACCATGGTCACTTAAAGGATATGATACAATCTGGGTAATAGTACACATGCTCACTTAGTCAGCACATTTTCTCCCTATCAACAAGATGGACCCTCATGAGAAATTAGTTCGGTTGTATACTACTGAAATAGTAAGGCTCCACGGGACACCTGTAAGTATAGTAGCTGATCAAGATTCAAGATTTGTATCTCGATTTCAGCAACAATTTACAAATAACTATAGGTACTAGACTCAGTTTTAATATAGCTGGACGTCCTCAACAGATAGACAATTAAACTAATACAAATATTGGAGGACATGCTAAGGTCATGTGTACTTGATTTGGGTGGAAATTAGGAGAAACACCTTACACTTGCATAATTTCCTTATAATAATAGTTATCAAGCTACTATGGAATGAGCCTTTTGAAGCATTGTATGGTCGAAGGTGCAGGTCGCCTATTTACCGAAATGAAGTAGGTGAGAGAAAAACTTTGCAACCACACCTTGTTCCTATGTTGGAAGAAGCAATTGATAAAGTTCGTAAAATTAGACAGAATGTTGACGGCTCAAAGTGGGCAAAAGAGTTATGCAGACAAGCGAAGAAGGGATTTGGAATTTCAAGTAGGTGACAAAGTGTTCTTAAAAGTATCACCGCGAAAGGGTATAGTCAAATATAGAAAAGGCGGTAACGTTGGGACTTTTGAAAATTTAGAGAAAATAGGAAATGTGGCCTATGGAATTGCTTTACCACCTAGGTTAGATAGGATACATGACGTATTCCATATTTCGGTTCTTAAGAAATACCATCCAGACCCATCTTATATACTCGACTACAAGCCTTTGAAATTGAATGTCGATCTGTCCTATGAAGAAAGACCGATAAAAATTTTAGATTACAAGTCACAAGAATTGAGTAACAAAGTCATCCCGCTTGTTAAAGTTTTGTGGAGTGATTATGGAACAGAAGAAGCAACTTGGGAAAAAGAAGATGAAATGCGATAAAAGCATGCATTCTATTTTAAAAGTCCATGTAAAATATCAAAGACGAAATTTTTATAAGGGGGTAGATTGTGTCGCCACATCTAATTATTCTCCACAAAATAGCACGTTATTTGGCTTTGCATAAGAGTAAAATGTTAAATGGCCTGAAGATCATATGACCCAATTTAATGTTACTATTATTATTATTAACACCAAAATCTGATATTGAAACTAAGGGTTGTTTCATTTATTTTATTATGAAGTTGTGTAGCTTAAGTATCTACATAATAGTATGCTAAGTTATAAGCCACCAGTAGCTATTATACAAGGTCGATATGAACAGCTCTCATCCTAGCAAAGAATTTTACAGTCAATGCGTGTGTCCATAAAAAATAACACGTAGCCTCTTCAGGTGATTCTATCTAACTTGGATCGACATGAACTAACCGCCAGAGGTAAAATAAACTAAAAAAGTAAAAAATAAAAATCAAGGCCCATGGCTATAAATAGGGGTCTAGGCTGTAGTGAAGAGTATACTACAAAGATCAAGGGAAAAAACGAAAAAAAAAAAAATTAAAGCTCCAACAGAGGACGTACAGGAGAACACTAGAGGGTGAGATTGCCATCCCTTATGTTTTAGTATTACTTTCAAAGGTTTTGTTCTTGTACCAAGCATTGTTTTATTTTGTCATCTATATTAAACGAGTGAAGTTGTGTTCCTGTGAAGCGACTTTTAAATGGTTTGAGAAGGAGAAACATGTTATGTACTACATATGTAAAATAGCAATAAAGAAAACGTTGGTTGTTCATATTGTATAATTTTACGTCTCCCACCCCAAATATTAGGTTTTCTTACAACACATCTAAGTTTGCGGCATGATAGGGGATAGGGTGGTTGGGTGATAGGGAAGGACGGGAGATGAGGTTGGAGGGTAGGGGATGGATGGGGTGGGAGAGATGAGAGGAGAAAAGATAATAAGTAGAGAGACTATGGTATTATTGAGAGTTTTAAGAATGAGTGATGCATTGGGGTGTGCTTTTACCTTCGGGGATCAATACAGATTCAAATTCCTAGAGCTTTGGGAATCATTTTGCTTATAAACATCTTAATATCGTATTGGGCCATTTCCAATCTCAATGATTAAAGCTCAATGATCAAGGTTCTGGGAAATAAGGAATATATCTTGTAATATTAAAAAGAGACGTGATGTAAACTGTAGGATTTACATTTTAAGTGTTATGGTATGTCAGTCTTTTCTGTGTTGAGCCTTGCCCATCTATACTCGAGATTTCTTTCTTTGCCCAGTTCTTTTTCATGATCAACAGTTTGTATCCCTAGACTAATTGATACACAGTGTGAACTGGGTCTTGGAAAGCAATCAGTTTGTGGCCCCCTTTTGCTCTCAATGATTGTATATTTTTGCTTTCTGCGGTTAATTCGCATGTGCTTCCGCAGTGGAATGCTAGAGTTTGGGTAAAATTTTCAGTTATAGTTATGCACAATTCTTTTGATCTATTCTGTAGTAACACGTGTTAGTTGCCTTGTGGACTTTTGCTATTAAAGCCAGACAGTAAAATCCTGCTGGATTTGCGAAGCTTTTCCTGGTATTCTAGTGCCTCTACTATCTTTCATTGAACTTCCCTTATTTTTATCATGCAGAAGAATTTTGATTTAGAAAATGCGGAAATTAAGCCTCTACTCAGTAAGGAGAATATGGAAGAGAAAAGAAGCTTACTGGACTCTGATAATTTTTGCGTTAATGACCATCATGAAGAAAGGCCCAACAGGAAACGTTCACTCCCAACAAGCGGCGACGCTTTCCAAATGCCTAGTGAAATAATGCATTTCAAAGAGAAGATTCCCTTCATTGATGATACAAGGGAGCACAAGAGGATGAGGCCTGAAAGTATGGGACATGTCAGTTATAATAGTCATCAAGAAGATCTCAGCAAAAGTTTATCACCAAAAGGTCCTCCTGGGAGCTTGAACGCTGATGAGATCTGCTTGCTTCCAATAGAGCCAGACCCGAGAAGGGATATAATGCATAATGTAGTTACTGATGGAGAATGCTCTGCCGATATTCCAAATCTTGAATTAGCATTAGGCGCCAAAAAGAAACTTCCAGAAGAGGAAATCTTGCCTCTGTTGTCATCAAATACTGGGGATGATGTGGAGGGCTTGCTTTTTCTTTCTCTTGCTTTGCATTCTCCAGAAAAAGGACCCAAATCCTTCACCTCTATTTGATGGGTTTTGGAAAAAAGTAGATTCTTTGTTCTGCAAATAGACAGTGCTCAAGACTCATGGCTTTGTGCTTATGTAGTATGTCATCAATATTTGAGGATTGCAAATCACTTAACATCCAGAAGAGTTCAGGCAGATGCAAGCTGCTTTGATAGTGTTCTCCCAGGTTATTGCCATAAATTGGTACAGTTCGCATTTTATTCTCCTATTTAACAATTCACCTTTTTATGCTGATTGTTGGAGCGTTTTCTTCTTTCTTGTTTGTGCTAGGGCTGTTAAGATTTTATGCAATGTGAATGAGCCCAGAAAGAGCCTGCAAGATGATTGCTAACCTATGGACAGGTACCAGCAACTGCTGATTGCATCTGCTATGTATTATCCGATTGATTGATGGAAAGCAGGAAACAGGTCTCTCAAAAGAATGGTCTGACCTTCCTTTGGCAATGTTGCTTGAAGCTGATCGTATGTCGGAGAGAGTGCCTCGAGACAAGCTGATGGGCTAATGTGAGGACGTTGGTTTTACTTGCACGCCAGGAAGGCTAGAGACTTGGTTTTGTTTGCAATGTGAAGGCTATAGAGTACCTGTCGGACAAAAGAGGCTGAGTACTGCTGTGAAAAAATAGCAATTTTTTTTGGCTGAGAAAATGTAAAAAAAGGAAAAATGTTCAGAACACCATGACTTGATTATTTGAGATCTACACTTTTCAAACTGGAAGAGATCAATGGTCCCAACAGAGCTCAGTTGAGTTGTACTATGTCTTGTTCTTGCTCTATGAGATTTTACAAATATCCGTTGGGACTTTAAATTCTAGTTATTTACTTGACAAAATTAGATCAGTCGAGTTGCTCATGTCATTTTGAAGATTCAAACTCTGAAAGCTACACAACTTGCACAAGCTATTTCTGTGTACTGTACATGTGTGTATTTTCCAGATAGTGATACTGTTGGGTGACGATTTTTGAATCTCAAATTTCTATTACATGTGTTTATCAGAACTAACATCCCTGCACGGTCGTTGTCCATTAGGATTTTTCGACTTTCTACTCAATTTTTCCCCTTTCTTCATATTCTCGTGCATAGGAGATGTTTATACTATGTACTAGAGCTACAGTAATTCTCAGAGCTACAGTAAATCTTAGAGCTGCAGTAAATCTCCAATAAATTTAGTATGATGATACTAAACTAGTTTCAAACCCGTGCGACACAAGGATTTGTTAATTATTGAGCATGTATAGATAAATGTCATAAATTTTGTAAAACATTTATGCATCAAAAGAAAAATTAAATCAAAATTTCACATAACTTTCAATAAAAGAAAAAATAATATAGAAATGGTCACAAATTATATTTTGCTCGAGTCTAAAATGCTTTACCCAAAACTTGTTTCAGTTTTTATTGGTCAATTGTAAAACTTACACTCCCACTTATGTAAGAAGGATTGATACTTCAAATAGGCGAAATAACTCAAATTTATATGCTTAAAAAGGGACATCATAAAAGAATGAAAAAGAAAGATTGTGAACAACTCAATCATGAGGAATACAAGCCTTAAATGCACAGGATCATATGCGCCAAAATAGACTTGAGTATACATAGCTGTGAGTGTACTATTAGTTAAATAAATAACAAGTATACAAATAAAGAAGAACATATAATACTTTGATAAATTTTAAATAGGCTACATTACCAAATTGGTATGTTTTTAGTTGGACACACGTTCTAATTAGGTATTTTTAGTTTATCCAGCAACATTAAGGTATCATAATCAAATTCCTAATGCATATATTTTGTATTTTTTATTAAGGATTGGAATACGAAGTTTATAATGTGCCGGTTTAAGAATTAGAATGGACAATCAAATAAGGGTATATAGGTAATTTATATACAAACTGTTAGAATTTTAACATCTGTTAGCATAGAGGGTAAATTTGAAAGAAGAAAACAATTTGAGGGATAAATTTAAAATTATAATGATTTCAGTATTAAATTTAAAAATATCTATAATTTGGAGGGAATATATCAAAAGAACCCCATTTTAAAAGCATGTTTTTAAAATAAATAAAAAGATTCAAGCTAGAAGTTATATCTATGATGCAATGTCGGATCATCTATAAACAAATAAATAAATAACCTAAGACGAAAAACTAAATAAAATAAGTTACATATTGCTCCACATTTACTCTCTTATATATTTGCAAGTTTAACTACCTATCAACATTTCCCACAGTTGTTTTTCTTTCATAGAATAGTCTATATACAAAAGATAACTTGTTTCATAGTTAATAATCCTCACGTTCAAAATTGTAAAATACCATGCATGATAATAATATCTGCACATCCCTAACTTTTAACCAACATGCATTGAATTGAGCTTCTATAATCACTTGTCCAGATAGAAACTAAAAGTGAAAAGGAAAACATGTAATATCAAGTAGCACTATAAAGATAATTATGCACAATTCTACAATGTCCCAGTGGAAAAAAAAAAACCCTCCACCAAGAATAGCGCTTGCATCTTCGTGTGTAAAGGTCTACTTACATGCAATACACGAGGACAGATAATATTTACATACCCAACTTGTTCACTAAGGAAATAAAAATCTTTGCACAAAATTCTTTTAAAAATTTAAAAAACAAAAACTTAAAACCCTCATCAAAATTAGTTTCACAATTAAGAATCAATTCATAATCAATATTAAGAGTTATTTCCTAATCTTTCAAACATGTTGCAATGGACATTCCCTACCCTGCACAAGCACATAAATAAGTACATATTATCATGCAGAGTTAGTAGATTAAATCAATTGATCTTGATCAGATTCTCTTGATGTGCCTTGTTAGCATATGAGGCTTTAAAACTATGAAGGGGAACTTTTAGAGCATCCATCAATCATACTTGCATGCATTTGCGACGACTTTTCAAATCCTTTCTGTTACTATCTTTTGCTGTTTTTTACCATCCTCCTCTTGATCTGATTGATTATGTTCTCGGCAGCACACATCCAGTCCTTGTCATCAAAATATGGCAATCGAGAAGCCTTCACAGCCTTGCATTCCCCCAATATCTATAATGAATGGTCAAATAAATCAGTATTTTTATTTTATTTATTTATTTATTTATTATTTTTATTCAACACTATACAAGCAGGTTATTTATTTCACTTATGCATATCACCGAATCTACATATTTAAGAACTTATGATTATATTCTAATTATAAAAATATAGGTTCATACTTCACTCTTCTTGTTGAAGTTTCAATTTTGTACAATACTTGTATAAAAAGAGTCAATAAATTATCAAAGTCAGACTTGAACGCTAGTTCAACAAATTTTCAACAAAACAGAAAACTTGTGCAAGTCTAGAACACTCACAAAAAAGATTTCCCCATAACATACATTGAAAGCTGTACTTAATAGATTTTTTTTTGCAAGCGTACACATTATATGCAATTGCAAATCCAAAGGGCACATTTCTAATAACTTAAAAGAGCAAAATATACATTAAAATTGTAGAGAATAGAGAAAACCCTAATTATTGTTTATTGAGATAATAAGAAAGATATATATAGCCATACAAATAGGGTTAAGGTTAATGGGTAATGACCCAATAACCCAATACCCAATACTTAATTTAATACTTCCCCTCAAGCTGGAGCATATATATCTATCATGCCCAGCTTGTCACATATAGTAGAGAACTCATTTGAAGATGTAGCCTTGGTAAGAATATCAACAAGTTGTTGTGAGGACGGAGTGAATATGAGAGATACTATCTTCTTCTCCCAAGCATCTCTGACAAAATTACAGTCAACTTCAATATGTTTTGTCCTCTCATGAAACACAGGATTCTGTGCAATATAAATGGCAGAATGATTGTCATAATGCATTGGCATGGGTCCAGGCTGAACAAAACCAAGCTCTGTCATAAACTTTCGTAGCCACATCATCTCACAAGCGGTGTGTGCCATTGCTCTATATTCGGCCTCTGCACTAGATCGTGATACTACATCTTGTTTCTTGCTTCTCTAAGTCACAAGATTACCTCCAACAAAAGTACAGAATCCTGAGGTAGACTTTCGATCTCCCATGTCTCCTGCGTAGCCAGCATCAGAGAAAGCCGAAATGTGAGTATGCTCATGCTTCTTATATAGCAATCCCTTGCTAGGACAACTCTTGACATATGCCAAAATCTTCGGAGCTGCTATCCAATGAACCTCTCTAGGTTTGTGCATAAACCTGCTCAGTACACCTACTGCAAAGGTAATATCAGGTCTGGTAACTGTCAAATATATTAGCTTCCCAATTAGTCTTCTGTATCGTCCAGCATCATTTAGTAGAGAGGTATCATCATGCCACAAATCAACATTTGCCTCCATTGGAGTGCTTGCAGGTTTGCATTCCAGAAGACCTGCTTCTTCTAGTAAATCTAGTACATACTTTCTTTGGGACAACAATAGGCCATGCTTTTGATATGCAACTTCAATCCCAAGAAAATACTTTGGCTTTCCCATGTCCTTAGTGACAAAATGACGGTTTAGATATTCCTTAGTCTCAGCTAAAGCAACAGAGTCACTTCCCGTCAGCAAAATATCATCAACATATACGGCTAAAATAACCAAACCAGTTGTTGTGCGTCGAAGAAAGACAGAGTGATCAGACTGACAGCGTTGAAAACCAACACTAGAAATAACCTTGCTGAACTTATCAAACCAAGCTCGAGGACTTTGCTTTAATCCATATATGGCCTTTTTCAGCCTGCAGATAATATTCTTCCCCTGAGCAACAAACCCAGGAGATTGCTCCATATAAACTTCCTCGTCCAAATCACCATAAAGGAAAGCATTCTTCACATCTAGTTGGTGCATCGCCCAATCCATATTAACAGCCAGAGAGAAAATAATTCTGATGGAGTTGAGACGAGCAACGGGAGAAAATGTTTCAAAATAGTCAACACCATATGTCTGGGTATAACCTTTAGCAACCAGGTAAGCTTTATAACGGTTAACAGACCCATCGGGGCGATATTTCAAGGTATACACCCATCTGCAACCAATCACAGTCGCACCAGTAGGAAGAGAGACCAAGTCCCAAGTCCCTCTAGAAAGCAGTGCATTCATTTCCTCATCCATAGCCTGCTTCCAAGCTGGTACTATCATAGCTTCCTCATGTGACCTGGGTATAGATATAGTGGACAAGGACAAAGCAAACAGACGAAAAGATGGGGTGAGACGGTCATAAGAGACAAAAAGAGAGATAGGATATTTCGGGCAAGACCGTTTACCTTTTCGAAGAGCAATAGGGATATCCAAGTCAGAAGGAATAGAAGTCTCAACATGAGATGGACCAACAACTGGAGATGGGGCATGTACTTTTGGACGGCGAGAGTATGTCAGTAGAGGCTTCGGTGCAGGAGCGACATGAGCAGGTAATGGAATAGTAGTAGGAGCAGAAGAAGGTAGTGGTACCGGTGGACAGTCAGCAGTAGTGGAACCAGACGAAAAATATGGGACAGACTCAAAAAAGGTAACATCAGTAGACACAAAATATTTTTTGGTGGACGGATGATAACGCCTATACCCTTTTTTTTAGTACGAGAATATCCGACAAAAACACATTTGATGGATCTAGAAGATAACTTATCCAAACCAGCTGTTAAATCCTGAACAAAACACGTAGAACCAAAGATACGGGGAATTACAGAAAATTGTTTTTATCAGGATAAAGACAATTGAATGGTATTAAACCATCAAGGACAGAGGAAGGCATGCGATTAATAAAAAAAATGGCAGTGAGAACAGCATCAGATCACAAATACTTTGGAACATTCATA